GTATGTTAGTACCATCCATTTAAGAAGACGCTTTACAGTGTGTATCCAAAGTCAAGCAAATATACTTTGCCACTTTGTCACTTAAAGGAATAAAGTGAAATTAGTTGTCAACGTTGATTTAAGATTACCGTGTACCTGGCTTGCTGAAAGCGACGAGAACTTAAAATTCTCGCTGGTGGAGATCAGAGACTACATAATCGATTGCACATCCCTGTAAAGAAAACAAAGATCCTCACAACTGGACCAATAAATAACAAGATAAATGGAGAAAAAGATGGAAGTTGTCAAAGACTTTATTTTGCTTGTATCCACAAACAACACACTCACTGAAGGAGCAGTCAAGAAATCAAACAACACAGTGCATTAGACAAATCTGCTACAAAAGACTTATTTAATGTATTCAAGAGCAAAATTAATTCCAGCGCTAAGGTGTGGCTGACCCCATTTTCAATCACCTCACATGCGTTTGAAAGTTGGACAATGAGGACTCATAGAAGAATTGATGCATTTGAATTACAGTGTTGGACTGCCAAAAGTATAAACAAATATGTGTTGGAAGAAGTACAGCCAGAAGGCTCCTTAGAAGCCAGGATGTCAAAACATCTCTCCTACTTCGAACATGGAGAGGGACATCATGCTTGAAAAAGTGGAGGGCCAGTCAGTGAGAAAGAGGAAGACCCAATGAGATGGATTGATAATAGTGGCCACAGCAATGGACTCAAAGGTAACAACAGTTGTGAGAATGGCACAAGAACTGAGCAGTGTTTTATTCTGTTGTGCAAAGGGTCACTATGAGTCAGAACTGACTGAACAACACCTAACTACAACAACAATGCCCCAGGCACAATACTTGATCTCTTAAATGAATTTTTAAGTCTCATTTAACTGGCCCTGTCGCAAAAGATTTTAACCACTAGTTTGCTAACAGGTGAGCTAAATGTCTCTCCTGCAAGCTTCCACCACCACTACACACTGCACAAGTTCCTGTTTTCTATCCACTGTCAAGATGTATCCGTGCTCCAACACTTAATATTTGTTTGATCCTGGACAAGATACTTAACCTGTCTGTGCCTCTTCCAAAAAAAAAAAAACGGAAATGGTAATAATAGAACCGATGTCTTAGGTTGTGGCAAGGATTAAACAAAAATTTAATGTGTTGAAAGTACTTATACTAGTATCTGGCACATAGGATGAGCCAGTTGTTTTTATTACTGGACTGTATTATATTGAAAATTTTGAGGGAAGGACCATGCTGTGTTCATTTGTGCCTCAGCATCTTCCTAGTACAGGCCTATTTTTGTCAAATGTTTTGTCAAATAAATGTTCACAACAATCTAGGTAGTAAAGAAACTGATGCTAGGAACTGTTAAGTCATTTGCCCTATCCATTGTTCTTTTCATAAATGCAAACTGACGCTTGGACTCCAGCTTTTCTAGAACCACACTCTTATTTTTATTAAACCTAAATGGTATTAGAAATCCTTGTATTGCTTTTATAATATTTTGGGTTTTGTCATTTCTACACCCAGCTTTTTCAGTGTCACCATTACTTAATATGGCCCTTCTAGACAGTTTTCCCACCACTCATCTGTCACTTTGTTGTACTGTGGTGGCTTGTGAGTTGCTGTGATTCTAAAAGCTGTGCCACCCATATTTGAAATACCAGCAGGGTCACCCATGGTGGACAGGTTTCAGATGAGCTTCCAGAAGAAGACAGACTAGGAAGAAGGAGTGACGAACTACTTCTGAATATTTAGTCACTGAAAACTATGAATAGCAGAGAAACACTGTCAGATATAGTGACAAAAAATGAGCCCCTCATGTTGGAAGGCCAGAGAAAGATATGCCAAGACATTGCTGAGAGGAGACTGGCCTGATGGGAGAACCACACTGAATCCTGAGTCATTTCTGGTCCTGAATTGTACCTGTTACTTCCCCAATAGACCCCATAACTGAATATTATCTGTGAGTTCTGTGTGGCCTTTGCAACGAATTATCAAACCCAGAAGTAGAGAGTAAGAGTGTCTTGGGAAGAACAGTTGGTGTCAGAACTGGTAAAAAGGTTGGAGGGCGAAGGCATGTCTGATCTCTGCCGCATAGGAATTGGTCTCAGGCTGTTGCTGTTGATTTTCCTTCTCCTGGGCTGCTAACCAAAGATCCGAAGTTTGAACCCACCAGCTGTACCTCAGGAGAAAGATGAGGCAGTCTGCATCGATAAAGATAGGACATCCTTGAAAACCTTTTGGAGCACTTCTACTTTGTCCTATGGATCCCGTAAGATGGAATCGACTTGATTTTAATTTTGAGACTCAAGAAGATTTAAATTACTTAATTCAGATTAAAGCCTGACCCACTGCCATCAAGTCAATTCCAACTCAGAGACTCTGAGGACAGAGTAGAACTGCTCCATAGGGTTTCTGAGGCTGGAAATCTTTTTTTTTTAATGTTTTATTGTGGCCAAACTATGTGATAGTTTACATGGGAGAACATTAGCTTCACATTCATCCCATCATATATCATTTCATTGCCATGGTTACAATCCCTTCCATGCATCATCAACCAACCAAAGGGTACAAGTGAGGCTGTAAATCTTTATGGAAGGGGACTGCCTCATCTTTCTCCCAAAAAAAGAGTGGCTGATGAGTTCAAACCGCCAAACTTTTTAGTAAGCAGATGTGTCAATTCAGGTTATAACAAAAAAAGTTTATGATTTTAAGTTGTCTTCATTGCAGACCTTTTTCATTTAATAAACACTTTTTCAGTTGTGTAGTCATGTGTATTGTCTTTTAAACAACCAAAATTCTTTCTTCCAGATTCCTCTTGTCTAATTCTCTGACCTATGTTTGATTCTCTATCTACTATCTTGGATTGATGACTCCATTTTGAATTTGCTATCTGGACTGAAAAATGTTCTGTTATCTCTCAGGTACCAGGCAATCTGACTGTTGACCACTCACCAGCTTCTCTGACAGAAGTTGTTGTTGTTGTCAGGTGCCATCGAGGCGGAACTGACTCATAGTGACCCCATGCACAGCAGAACGAAACAATGTCC